TGGACTCCTAAATAGCTGACTAAGGTTCAAGTACCGGATCTGGAGACATGCTTTCTCACTTTCCCTTTCTCTCTCTCTCTAGTGAGTACATATGCCCTATAGCAAATTAAAACAGTAATAATAATAATAATAATAATAAATAAAATTAAATAAATAATTCTTTAAAAATATCCAATGTTCAGTGCATGCCAGTTCAGGGAAATGGCATTCTTACATACTGTTAGTGGTAGTATATATTCATACAATCTTTCAGGAGAGCAATTTGACAATTTGCCTCAAAGACCATTTGTGCTTCCATTTGAACTACAAATTCTATCCCTATTTATTTAGCATAAGGACATAATTATGGAGAGCAAAGTTTTAGTAGCAAAATGGCTAATGTGGTATCATTGGGTATCAAAAAACATAGCTAAGATGGTTCAACAGTGGAGTACCAATTTAAGAAAAGAAGGACATATTTACTAAATGTTATTTAAGATATTTTATGTCTGAAATATGCTGATGGCTGACTCATCATAAATAATACAATGCCATCTTGTTATATACATATACCTACGTACACAAGAAAAAGACAAATATATACATTAAATTAGCAACAGTGGTATTATAGGTGTTTATTTCCTTTTAAAAATTATTTATTTTATTTATTATCATTATTATTATTTTTAATTTGACCAGAGAGAAACAGAGAGAAAGAGAGAAAGAGAAAGTGAGAAAGCAAACTGCTGGGTCCAGGAGTTGAAACATGGACAGTCACATGGGAGTCCAGCGCCATAACCATCACACCACCTGCCAGCCCGTAGGTGTTTATTTTCCTCTTTTTGCTTATCTTCCTTTTGCCTATCACATGATAATCTGAAAGGAACCAAATCCCTTTCTTCTATACTCGAACTCTCTTTTAATTTCAGTAGTCTTTGCACAATTAAAAAAAAATTTTTTTTTAGATTTTTGCCATAGGATGCATGTGTTCACAAAGAGAGAGGGCAAGTGAGAAACCACCTCCGGGGGAGATGGCCACACCACAATCCCTTCTCCACCTTTCTCAGGACTTTGGGCATGCGTACGCACACACCAAGTATGTTTTTCAAGCCACCAGGTCCAAAACTCGAACTGCAGAATCAGCCACGGGGGAATCCAACACCTTATCCACCTCACTACCAGCTGGCCTGATTTTTATCTTTATAATGCCAGTGTCTACTGGGACTCCTATTAAATATGACAACCATTATAAAAAATGAAGATGTTTTTTCACAGTCTGTATTCAAAGGAATAAAGGCAAAATTTAAAAGGCATTTAGTGAAAAATGGATTGATGATGAGTAACATTTTAAAGAGGTACTTTTAGGACCTTTTACCAAAAAAAAGAGAAACTCTCAGGCTAAACTTTCTCTTTCCCATATTCTCTTTAATTTTCTCTTTTGAGTTCTATACCCATTTCCAAACTTAAGTTTATTGCATAACTACAAAAGGAAAGGATATAGGAAGCCTAATTTTTTTGAGAGAGAGAGATTTTCACTATAGGGCACGTGCGCTCGCCAGACAGACAGAGAGAGACAGAGACAGAAAGCGAGAAATCACCCCCCAGCGGGGATGGTCACGCTGCAATCCCTTCTCCTCCATTCTCCTCTTGGGATCTTGGGCACGCACGCACATGCGCCAGGCATGAGTTTTAAGCCACCGGGTCCGGGACACAAACTGCGGTCGACTACGTGGGAGTCCAGTGACATAGCCATTACGCTAACTGCTGGTTCTCAAGGAAACCTAATTATAATTATATACTTTTTTTAAAGAATTGTTTTATTTAACTTTATTTATTTATTTATCTATTTATTTTAACTTGACCCGAGAGGGACAGAACAAGAGAGAGAAGGAAAGTGAGAAAGCAAGCTGTCAGGTCCGGGCCTTGAACTGTGGATGGCCATGTGGGAGTACCGTTCCCTTAACCACCATACCACCTGTTGGTCCCAATTTTAATTATGCAAGTTAGTGTTGTCAATTATCTTCAAACTATTTTTTTTTAATTCCAAATCCACAATTACATGAGATGACTGATGAATGAAATCTCCAAAGACATTGGACATTTAAACATTTCATCTTAAACAAATAAAAAAGCTTAGGCCAGAATAGAACCATAGAAGCAGTATAATCAGACCCTCTCAGATACCTTAAGTGGCTGACAAATGCCAAGCATAATACTCAAAATCCAGAGTGTCCAGAAATTAACCTGATAGGTTGAGACTCACAATGAAAAGATATATGCTGAAATTACTGGAAACATGCCAAAGGATAAAATTAGCCCATGGAGTCTGAGCATCATTTTGTTTTACAGCATCTTTAAAGATAAATTTATAAAAATAATTGGCAGAATAAAGAAAATTTAATAAGTAATTTCTCTCTCTTTTTTTATTTTTTAAAATTTTTTGTTAGGTTTTTGCCATAGGGTGTTTGCCCTTTAACAATCCTTTCTCCTCCATTCTCCTCTCAGCATTTTGGGCACATACATTGTCGGCTGTGTGGGAATCCAGTACCTTAACCACTAAATCACCCTCTGGCCCTGAAAACTGACAGGTCACATTTTCATATCCTTTCATGTCTGGATTTTAAGGAATTAGTTACATGGTAGTCACATATTGAAAAGAACTGGTAAGAAATTATAAAAGTCTTAGAAAAAAGCTTCTATCAGCCTAGATCTTCTGTGCTCCTTATTTAATAGCCACTATCCTGATTTTTTTTTTTTTTTTTTTAGGTTTTTGCCACAGGACGTGTGTGTTTGAGGGAGAAGGAGAGACACAGAGAGGGAGAGTGAGAAATCACCCTCCAGGGTGATGACCAATCCACAATCCCTTTTGCTTCATTCTTTTCTTAGGATTTTGTGCATGCACACACATGTGCCTGACATGATTTTCAAGCCACCAGTCTGAGACTCAAACCGAGGTGAGCGAACTGGGAGTCCAGTGCCTTAACCACCATGCCGCCTGCTGGTCCCTATCCTTAACTTTTATAAGAGACTAGAGATGAGTAGTTCCTTTTAAGATTCCAATGTTCAGGTAGACATTGACTTAGGATAATGAAAGTTCATTTAGGCATTGTTGTTTTGAAACAAAAATGTTAAAATGTACCTTTCTTTCACTCTACTAGGGGTATGGATTCTTTATCCATTTTAACCCTTAGGTTTTTGTGACTTACTGTGATCCTTTTTTGAAGAAGCACTGGTTCATTATAAAGCTTTCTTTTCCAGTTCTTAAAAACTTGGGGCAGATAAATTCATCTGCTTCCTCTTTCACTATCAGTTTCATGTTGGGATAATTTGCTAATGGGATATCAGTTTATCTTATTTCTCAAATAAGAATGAAACGCCATTGATACGTGTTTTATCTTACAGCTGTCAGTCAAGCAAAACCCTGTAAAGATCAGTATTGTCATGATCAACTCAGCATCTTTGTCTTGTTTCACATAATCATTGACTTTTGCTCAATGAACAAACCTTTCTGTTCTTACAAATCATAATGTGTGGCTCACTGACAATAGGTCTCCTTTTTAAAGCTGTCCTTAAGATAAATGGGTTCTGGGAACCAGCAGTTAGCATAATGGCTATGTTGCTGGATTCCCACGTAGTCAACCACGGTTCGTGTCCCGGACCCGGTGGCTTAAAACTCACGCCAGGCGCGTGTGCGTGCGTGCCCAAGATCCCGAGAGGAGAATGAAGGAGAAGGGATTGCGGCGTGACCATTCCCCCTGGGGGGTGATTTCTCGCTTTCTGTCTCTATGTCTCTCTCTGTCTGTCTGGCGAGCACACGCGCCCTACAGTGAAAATCTCTCCAAAAAAAAAAAAAATTAAAAAGATAAATGGGTTCTCTCCTTGTGCCTCCCCTTAGAGTGAGCTGCAATTGTTACATGAAATCAGCATAAAGCAACATGAAGTACACCCCCATGTCTGTGCCCAACACTCAGGAGACAGCGTTTCCTATAACCAAAGAACTTAAGATGGGGTTAGCAAATTAAAGTATTGATTTCTATTCCAGAATATTCTAAGCATGTAAAAGTAGTTAGGACATTAGGATAAATATGTGGAAAAAACAGCACTGCAAACAAATCACTGTATTTTGGTAAATCTAGGACATCAATACCTTACATACCATTAGGAAGAGGAAAAATGTCGATTATTTTAAGACAACATCAGTTGTGGGGGACCAGCAGGTGGTGTGGTAGTTAATACACCGGACACTCCCACATGGACGACCATGGTGTCTCGGACCTGAAGGCTAACTTTCTCACTTTCCCTCTCTTTCTCTCCCATCTCTCTCTCTCCCTTTCTCTCTCTCTCACTCTCTCTCTCTCTGTGTGTGTGTGTGTGTATGTGTGTCTGGTCAAATCAAAAAAATATAATAAATGAATGAATAAATAAAATTCAGTAATTCTTTCTAAAAAAAAGACACCATCAGCTGCAAGATGAATCCTAATTTCAAAGATGTTAAAATGTGAAAAGATGTGTGCCTTAGAAACATGAAATTTCTAGCACTGTGCTAGAACTAAGTTTATTGAGTTTGTACTATGAATGAGTTAAAAACTGAAACCTATCGATAAAAAGGAATCTTTGCTTAGCGTGAAAGGACATCAAAATTCCACCTTCTGTCAGGTTTTCTCCCTCTTAATGAGACTGATCTTTTTAACTGTCAGAAGGTGCATGCAATCACCAGAGAGAGAGAGAGAGAGAGAGAGAGAGAGAAAACAACCTCCAATGGGTGTGGTCACACTGCAATCCTTTTTCCTCCATTTCTCCAATCTGTGGGAATTTTGGAACGCATGCATACGCATGTGGGGCTGGGATTCCAACCTTGATCAGACCTGTGGGATTGGCTTTTTATGCTCAGCCCTGAACTGCTGTGCTACAGTGCTAGCCCAGTCCAATTTATCCACATGAATATGTTTCCAGATATGAACACATGATGTCTTTCTCTTTACACCTGCAGAAAGTAATTCTCACTTCTTTCTCTTACTTACTCGGGTGGACAGGGCTCAGTGTTGCAGGCTCTCTGATTTTCAGGTGGCTTACTGTCAGGGTCACAGTAATTGTTCTGGACAATGGAGTTGTCATCCAACCTTTTACAGACCACCTCCTGTCTTTGGACACCTTGAGGAAAGGAGGACATCATTAATTGAAGAGTAGTTTACCTTCTGAAAAGTTAGGTATGCACAGCTTTCCTCTGTGGGAATCAACCTCACTGGATCGCTGCTGTCTTATCTGTTCCAGAAACACTTGACTGCTTCTCTAAAAAGGAGAGAAGTCCTGGTCATTATACTGAAATTTTCAGCAAAATTATTGTTCTTATATTTAGAAACAATAACTGTTTTCAAGTCCAGAAAAGAAACTATTGGTAATTTTAAACAAGTAGTATTCCCATTTGTATATTCTTCTTCATGCTGTCCTTAAAAAAACTTTAAATTTCCAAAGGATCATCAGATAAAATGTATGAATAGGCATTTCAGTATAAAACAATGGCTTTAAATTTATTTAAAAATAAAACAATAGGACAAATTTACTTTTTGATATTTTGTAGGATAAACTCCATCAATTTAGTCTTTGTTAAGAACACATCATATCCACACATTTCATTTTTTTTTCTTCCACTTACATATTTATCTCTCTCAAAGCCCACAAAGTTTAGAATTTAAAGATTTTGGTGGGTCTCTCTTGGACTGTAGCCAGCAAGTCTGTTCTAACAGTGTAAGTCTCCAGTAGATCATACCATTGTCAAAGAGACACCGCCCATTCACATATTAGCTTATAAAATACTTATCTCATTATTAAAAATTAGCAAATGTAACCTGTTCAACACAGCTAAAAATATTCTTATAAAATTCAGAAAAGTTCTAAATACATGTTTGTCATTTTTTGGCAAAGATATCCACCACAAAGTGCTCACATTTCACAAAATACAAAGACACACAAGAACACACACTCATTTGTACACAACTTCCTTTAAAATACAATTTGAAATCTGCTGAACAGACTTCATGTACACTCATTTTCTCTTCAGCGTCAAGGAATCAAGTGAGGCAAAGTTGGGTCCATCAAGATGTCAAAGAGTAACCAGTCAGACACAGGACGATGCTAACTGTCTGAGATCATACAGAGGTCACAGGTGAATCCTGGACATAGAAATAAAAGCACAGACTAAGCTGTCTCTCCCTACTCACCCACTTCATCCCTGAAAACAGATAGGCTAAATTACCTAGAAAGCGTTGAAAAAGCACAATTAGCGATACACAGGAAACCACAGCTTCACACCATGCTAATTCCACACAGTCTTTACTTTCCTTTTTATTAATTCTTTTTGTTTTCAGGTGTTTTTAATAGTGTGCTTAGAAAAAGAGTGTGATCACAAACTAGAGAAATTTGTGTAAAATGAGACCAATCACTAAAGGAAACTTGCCTAAAAGAGCTAGGCACCAAATGTTTCCTTCAAGGTCTCTTAAGAGTCATGGTGTGGCCAGTAGGTGGCATGGTGGTTAAGGTGCTGGGTTGCCACATGGCCGACTGTGGTTCGAGTCCCAGACCTAGTGACTTGAAAAATCACACCAGGCACATATGGGTGGGTGTATGTCCAAAATCTCAGGAGGAGAATGGAGGAGAAGAGATTGAGGTGTGTCCATCCCCCTGGTGGGTGATTCCTCATTTTCCCTCTCTGTCTCTCTGACAAGTACATATACCCTGTGGCAAAAAAAAACTAATAATAATAATAATAGTAGTAGTCAGGGGAATTCTGTAGGTGGGGGTACCTCAGTTATGTCATGCACACCTTTAGCTAAGTCCTTTGAATTTAAAGAATGACAGGGAATCCTATTAAATCCACCATGCTCATGAGACCTAAATCCTGTAGCCTCTATGACAGCAGTGAGTAGTTACAGAGGTATTTTTTATTGCTCACAGTGAGCCAAGGTTCTTACTGAATACCTTCAACAATAAGATATTTTAGGTTTTTCTAAACTTAGGGGTCTAAATATAGACAAATAACTTATTGGCAAAATGTCTTAGAGTATATACTGTAGTCATTCCTTACCAAGTCCTAACATAGGCCTAACAACTCATTTTATATGACAACTGTTTGGAATTTTTTAACTATTAAATTTTAGATTTTGAGGGAAGAATGATTCACATCATGCACAGCTCTGATCCATTCACAGATGTTGCATAATTTTCACCAAATATCTCCCCCTTGTGTCATTCCAGTGGGCAGATAACTAAGTCCATGTGGTCCCCTAGACAGATAACTCTGCCATTAGTCATAGGATTCAACTACCAACTGCAACAGTGGCTCAGATTATCCATCCCTCTGGTCCAATATTTCACTTCTTTATTTTTTTTAAAAGTCATTCAGATATGACTACATTTGAAACAAAAATAATGACATTCAATCTTTATTGTTTCTTAGAAAAGGATAAACATTTTCAGTATTACAAAATGGAACTGAAGTTGCTTCTGTGGAAGAAACATTAATTCAATTTGTGCAGGTTAAGATAAAGTTCTGCTTTCTTTAAATTAACCCCATAAATTTTTGGCTATAATTACATTTGTTTTTAAAAGTAGTCCTTAATATAACAGCAGGGCCTCTGTCATTTGAATCACAGATAAAAATACTGGTTAGTAAAGATAAGATTTATATTTCATTTTAAGATAAATTCTAGATACGTATCTTGAAAAAAAATTGCTACTTAACATTTATTGCTAAGAATCTAGAAACTAAGATTATGAGGGAAAAAATTTTAAATTCCCATACTCCTATATTTTTTGTTCTAGACCTTTCATTTTAGTGCTATTTTGCTATTTGGTGGGATCCAGTAATTTGTTTAAAAATTACATACACACACAAACTAAAATTGCCAGCTAAATGTTGTTGACAGGTCATTCACACTCATTTATTCGCTCACTCATTAATTCATTCATTCAACAGAAAATAGTTATTAAGTGCAAGACACAGTCCTTATGATGTACTGGGCTAATTGCTAAGAATTATAAATTGACTTAATTTTGGTCATGCCGTCAATAGTAGAAATTAAGTGTATTTTGGGGTTCATTTTAGTTCATAATTTCTGTATGCTTTTTTTTATGAAGTAAAAATAAGTCCTTGAATAGACAACAGAAATTGCTCTATATCTTATGAAGATGCACTTTTTCTTGCACTCATCTTTTATTAATTTTCTTCTAGAATGTTATATTAGGCAGTGTGGTATTTCACACTTGGGAATTGACTATACCCATAATCTATTCCAAATCTTCCTACAACCCTGTACTATTTTCTTCCAACAGCATACAAATCACCTTTCAACTTTTACCCCACACTTTAAGCATATACTTCGGAATGAAGGAACATGTATCTTCTAACATGGAAAGCAGAAAATATAGAGCAACTGTAAATAAACTAAGTAAACAATAAAAATGATTGTTTAGAATTATATTTTATTCTTAAATTATATTTTATTCTTAAATAAATTATATATTTATTCTTAAAAATATATATATATTCATATATATATATATATCTTCACGACCTGAGAATTTACCTGTCGATGGCAAAAGTCTAAAACAAGAATAACAAAAATTTGGTTTTTAGTTGCACTGACCACACTTTGAATGCTCAATAGCCCTGAGATTTGCTAGAAACTGTCATACTGGACAGCATAGATATATATTTCCTTGATTGTGAAAAGTTCTATTCAATAGTCCTATAAATGTAGATTTCTTTCATGCATGAGAAAGTGCACACACTCACATGAGCACAGAAGTATATATACATTGGGACCGGCAGTTAGTGTAATGGCTATG